TTTAACTAAACACGTTATTGCTATGTTTTTATTCCTTTGAAACGGGTAATTTACATACCCATATCTATCTTTATACTTCTCAGTCCTTGTATGGACATGAATAAAGACCAAAGATCCAGTATATACAATGATACAGTTATATGCGTTTATATTTTATACATTTCAAGATAAATCTAAATGCAACATAAAAATATAATGTATTATGTTTGAAAATTTACATTGGCTATAGTCACATTATTTATATAGAAGTACATTATAAATTTATATGTTAAATTAATTTTTTTAACGCTAGCCACTCGATTTCTCTTACAATAATTATTATTTTAAGAAAATTATTTTTATATATTATTCATTGATCAGCTATTAATTATTATTTTAGTTCATACCTTTCATGCCTTATTTATACCATATTATGATATAAATGGTACTTGTACCATATTTAACAAGCTTATAAAATAAAAAATGATCTAATTAAGAATATGACGGATCGTTAACAACTTTTTAAATGGTACTTCAAAAATTATAACAATGCAGATATTTAAATTATATAGACTGGAGGATATAACAATATTTATTATTAAATATTTCTTGGCCGCACCTCTCCCCGTCTATATATTAAAATCATAATAATTTTGAATCACTGGTTCAAAAATTGTTATTGGCTAATCATTTTCTTAATTAGATCATTGTTTATTTTATGAGCTAGTTAAATACGTGGTCGTTAAAATAAAGTTGACACCATTATTGACATCCCTTAAAAACGAATTAAAAAGTACTTGATTGATAAATCAAGAAATATATGCAGCTAAAAATACCAAAAATAATTTTTTCAACTTATTTCATTATATTTCTATTTTATTTATTTCAAATTATTATTTTAAGAAAATCGAGTTACTAGTGTTAAAAGAATCGCCTTGTATTTACTAATATGTCCTATAAAACAGTAATCTATTATTAATGCTCAAGATAAATAATTCAAATTAAAGATTAATACATTCAAAGCAAGCTTGGTGTATGTACCAATTGTGCACATAAAAATAAGATTCAATAATAGATTTTCAAAGTAGCGGCGTGCGGAGTTTTAAAAATAAATACATACAAATAAAATTTGTAAAAGATTCTAACCATATAAATATTCTAAAGTTTTGCGGAATTCATAGAATTTGCTTAGGTATTTATTAAAAAAAAAAAAAATTAAATGCTAACAATGACGAAAATATATTATATTATATATTATACATAAACAAATATTCTTTGTATAAAAAAGCCTCAGGCTGGAACAGGATAAAGATTGTGGTCATCGCCTACAAGTAAGTTTATTTCTATTGTTAAATTTTAAAAAAGTCCAAAAATACTTGTCTCATTTTATTAAGCCATCAAGTCCTACACGCAAGCCCTTGTTTTAAGTGCTATCCAAATTAACTAAAAAATATTTTATTTAATATTTATGAATAATTACTTAAATTGTATAATTTAATCGCTAATATTCTACAAATGTAATTTTCTTCATTAGTCTAGCTTGAAAAGAATTCAATTAATATCTAAGGGGAATTAAAACGTTATTATATTAGAAATTAAAAGAAACTACTGTAGCTTTTTTAGTAGTCTTTTTTTACTGTAGTCTTTTTTTACTGTAGTCTTGAATTCGCGTGTTTCCAAATAATTATTTTCAGCAATTTCTTGTTTGTCAAAATGTCATTTTTGCGAAAAAAAAATTATGTAACAAGTGACAAAGATTATTATACACAAATCAATACATCTATTGTGTGTACTAAGTTTTACATACCCATTTATAAGTACATAGTACACAACAACTGTATTTAAGAACTTTACCGTATAATATATTATGCAGACATGTATTTTCATATAACTTGTTGTAAAAATTATTACTAAAACACAATAGATTAGCAGTAGCGACTGGCGTACCACGTTCGAATCAACTAACTTAGTAGTTTACAGCTCTTACCGGTTTACGACTTTTACTTATACTTGAAATAGCTGAATCTTATATTGTAACGTACCTGTATACGTTGATGTTATGTACTTAAAAAGTATACGAACAGAGTACTAGAACACGACCACCATTCGCCCAGACCCATTGTGCCGGCAACACATAAAACTATGTATGTATACTAACAATAAAAGACAGTAGTAGTAGTTCAATATAAAAGAATTGATTATTATTACATACGACCCCTAGACCTGCGATTGTTTTTATGACGTGGCTTGCTGCTGAGTTTCTAATGGAAAAATTCATACCTAAAGGTGAGCTCCAAGATCCGAAACAATCCATTGTTTACCTATCGGTGGTAGCTCTGATGTCGCCGACCCGCGCCTTCTTCTATACACTAAATATAATGATAATCACGACAACAACAGGAACGCGATTGATGAATCTCGTAATACTCTGGGGTTATTATTCCACGGGACATAATTTAAAAACCTGACGATAATAATAACTACAAAAAAAAAAGAGTTCTTGTACGAGCGATAGAAAATCAAGAACGTGTGTCATGGTATAAAAGCGCACGTGCGTCCATCTGACGTGACCAGGACACCTAAATGTTGTTTCATTTATATTAATATTAGTTATTATTAAATTGTCGTAAAAAAATTATAAAAAAAAAATTTCCTTTTAAATATTGCTTTCTTTGACTTTAAACACATTTTCGGATATCTAATTTCAATAGTCATTGACTAAATATATTTTTTCGTGTAACGAATAAGATTTACTAAGACAACAGCTAACCAAAAAAAAAAAATTTATATGAAGTAAAGTAATAATAATAGTGACCACCTGATTAATTCATTGTGACAACACCCAAGTGTGTAATTGGAACTCGTGCGAGCTATTTTGTAGGATTACACTACAAAGTTAAGTTCGTTGCACATTAAATATCTGAACACCACGAAGAGATGACCACATAATCTACTATTCCAAGTTCATTTAGATGTTTCCTTGCATACATTTTTTAAGTTTTTATGTTATCAAAGTTTGTATTTGTTGTTTTAAAATTGCCAAATACAACTAAACTATAATTATCAAATAAATACATAATAAATCAACAAATTTAAATAAATTATTTCTTCATTCTATTTTTATTATATTATTTTAATGCGGACACTTTAATTTCAGAATAACTAAATTAATTAATGTGTACCTACAATTTATTGTTCAAACTATTATATGGTTATCTAAATTTTATTACAAGAATCATTATTTTAAGCATTATGAAATTCTTGATTTTATTTAAAAACTGAATTTATAACCAATCTAATTTACTCATAAACAATGTTTAAAAATTATATTAATATATCTTATAAAAATATTTGTAACATGAAGTCTTCGTATTTTAATCCAGTTAGAAGATTTTTTTACTTATATAAGTTAGTCTAGTTGAGGACTTTTGCAACGGTTTCTTTTCTGTGCGTTTATTGTTTTGATTTGCTAGAGGTATGATGCTGAAGTTTTTAGACCCTGAAGATAATTATCTATAATTAGTATTATGTACGCACAATTTGATTAATCGAGTTCGGCTTATCTTTTGACTAACTCTGTGAACTAGAGACGACTGAATTATGTCATTATTATTAATTAGTATATTAATTATTTGCAAGATTATTTTAAATTATATTAAAACATAAATTCAGTTTTTCTGTCACACTATTTCAATTTTGATATTTGAAGTGTCAACAGTTCTTAAAGGACTGTTTTTTATTTATACTTACAAATTTAATCTTATAAATAATTCTATCGAGGATTGCAGTGACAAAGTAAACATAAATAGTAACTATGTTGCTTCACTATTTAGTGCATTCCATAAAGGGTGACTCGCGCAATATCTTCTAAAATATTAAAGCTAATAATCATTTTATTTTTTAACAAATATTTTTCTGCTATCATCTCTTATAGCCTAAACCTTGTATCAATTTTTAATTTTTAAATAACAACTCCAGCTTTATTTTATATCACGGATTTATTCAATTAAAAAAAATGTTTTTATTTTATTCNACAAATATTTTTCTGCTATCATCTCTTATAGCCTAAACCTTGTATCAATTTTTAATTTTTAAATAACAACTCCAGCTTTATTTGTATATCACGGATTTATTCAATTAAAAAAAATGTTTTTATTTTATTCCTTTTCAATGAGTTACAAATTTTAGTTTCGAAGCTATTGATTTTTTAATTCAGATGCGTTTGTTTTAAGATACTATACATGATTACTTCGCTTCTACTCAATCGATTTTGCTAAAATATACACCAAAAGATAACAATACGTATCTATATGTAGCTGTTAATAACATCATTTTGAAAAATTCTCCTCAGTTCGTGTAATAAAAAGAAATAATATGATAAACTGCTCTAACTATTTGAATACATGCATGGATTAAAATAAAATTTTTAGTAGTAATATTCAATACAAGTAAATCAATTTACTTGTATGGGGACTTGAACAGTCGATCTAACACAAAAATAATTATTTTACTAATTTGATATCCTGAATCAAGGAAATAATTACTATTTAAATAACATATATAACAGTGGCGGCACTGTTTATAGGGACACTGTGATCACTGTTGTAATTTGTATTATCATATAGATTTAAGGTGTAAAATCTATGGTAACATTTTTAATAATTAATAATTATTTTTACTTTATATAATTTAAAGAGTATACAGTAATAAGTTTTAAATTATCGATTCTTTATTGTTTGTTTATGTGTGTATTTGTTATACAATTTAATATTAATAAACCACTTTATTGTAGAATCGATCAACTTATTATTGTACAAAATTACAAATCGATAATTTAAAACTTATTACTGTATACTCTTTAAATTATATAAAATAAAAATAATTATTAATTATTAAAAATGTTACCATAGATTTTACACCTTAAATCTATATGATAATAAAAATTACAACAGTGATCACAGTGTCCCTATAAACAGTGCCACCACTGTTATACATATTATCACAAAATACTTAATCATTAATTTAAACAACAAACATTATTTATTTATTTAAATCTTAGATAAAACATACAAAATTTTATTATTTTTTCTTTCCTTTTTTTTTTAACCATTTTTGTCTTTTAGATTCCAACAATCTCTTCCGTTTTGCCTTTTTCCTGTCTTTTATCCGCTCTATTTTATTTTTCATTTTAAATATTTTGCTATTTTGAACTGTTTCTGCAGCTTGCTTTTTTATTGCTTTTTTAATTTCTTTAATTGAACCGAAATTCATACCAGGTACTCCATTATTATCCTCTTCTTCTGAATCTTCTTTTTCAGATTTTTTCTCTTCTTCATAAACAACCTACAAGATTATAATTTAAAGAAAATTAGTTTATGTCAATTATTATAATGCTGTTCACAACCTAAGATTACAAATGTTCTATGCATATTTCATGAGAGGTATAATAGCACTTATAAAATAGTACAATAAAAAAAACATCAGGTTTCGAAATAACTGCTTGGATTGTCAAATCTTTATACTAGTTTTAGTTTCACAGGTAATAAGGGTGTAAATATTAAGAACAACTTTTCTTATAAATGAGTAATTTAGAACTAATTAGATAATTCATTAAGCTATAAAAAGTGATATCCTATCTTGGGTGATAGATGAGTTGATCAGTATTAAATTTAAATAATGAGTTAAAGGTACTAAGAGCCAATGTTTAAAATAAATAATAATACTAAGTATAAACTTATAAACTTAATACATTATCATAAAATCATTTTATAACTAAATATATTTACTTTTCCTTTTGAATAATTAACTCATATATTGATAATTATTTTCAATATGGTGAAATTTTTACCTTTATTTTCTCCCTCTCAAAACGTGTTTAGTAACTATTATTAGAAATACTTATTAACTTTTATTTAAAACTACCTGATTTGAACCAATCCAATTATTTGTTTTTGCTATTTCATCAGTAGAAAGTTCACAAATTTGTACTGTATGATTTTCTAAATTATATTCTTCAGTTACATAATCTAATGGTTCTGGAATAATCGGATGAGCATTAGTAAGTTTTTTAAATGCTTCTCTTGCCTACAAATACATTATTATTATATAAACTTTCACCAAAATATAGAATGAATCAATTCAATTAAATGAGTACCTCAGCTTTTATTCTTTTTTTCTCTTCTTTTAGTCTTCTTTCAAAATCTTCTTTTGCTTTTTTTTTTCTAGCCAACTTCCTCTTATGAAATCCAGTTAAAAATTCACTAAAAAATAACATTTTATAAGTAATGATATTATAGTTATAATGAAACAATGCGTATCTCATTCTTATTAGTTTTACAGAATAATCAAAAAACAAACTTAAATTATTAACATTTTAATGCAAAAGGTGATTTTATTTTTACTACTATCAATAGAAATCAAGTCTTTCAAAAAAATATTTAGAAACACATCTTATATTTAAATTTTGAGACGCTTATTTTGAGTAAGGGTATAAGCAGCGATGTGGAATTGGTTTAATTCTGTAATTGTTATTTAAACTTAAATGCAATAATATTATTGGATAAGAATTACAAATGAAAAATTTAGTATTTTTTCACAAAGTATGAGAGTAACGAAATAAAATTGATTTATAATTACTGTTCGCTTATTGATCTTAAATGTGTAGATCTTAACTAATATTCGCTACATATTATTACTTAATAAAGTTGGCATCTCAGTACTTACCATCGTGCCTTTTCATCAAAAGTAATATTACGTTTTGTTCTTCGATTAATAGGTTTTCTATGACGTTTAATTTTAGTCCGATCATTAAAATCATCCTTCCCTACAAAATCTATCATCTCAAAATTAATTTAAATAACAATTTCACAATCAAATAGCAATAACATTCATGTATAATATACCGAATTAAAATTTTAACCAATGTTGACCAATATGTGCTTAAAATTTATAATAAGTGTTAGTACAAACTTTTATCAAAGGCTGTAGTAAAAACTAGTAAGTAGATAACGCCACAAGTACATAACATACTAAATAACCTCAATTGTAATTCAATGGTACCAACTATTAAAGAATATTATTCCCATTAGCTGATCATTAATAAACATTAATACATTTAAATATACTTTTATTAATAATTAATTATTTATTTTTTAATTAGAGAACTAAAGAAATATTAAACAAATCATTTTTTTACGTATTAAGAGTTATTAAGTAGAAGAACAATGGTTTTCCTTTCGTGCTTTCAATATACTAATAAGTTCAAAAAAGTTTTCATAAAAAAATGTTTTATTTTCATTCATGACATATAGGATTTTGTTAGATTTGCAAACAAATTTTCTTTAAAATATTATGTATCCATTATAAAATTTTTAGTTGAAATTGATAAAGCTGGCTCCAAGAACTTGACAAAAAACAAAATAGGCAAGAATTTGAAAATGGCTTGCTAGTAAATATTTTAATATCCAATAGATATTTATCGGAAAAAATTCAAATTGATTTTAAAATAAAAATTTGATAAGCATTTTGACTATGAAGTAATGATTATATAAAACTCTAATGAAATTATTTTTAATGAAGAAATGCTTACGCCTATTAAATTCTCCCCTCGTAAATACACCATAATGTGAAACATTTTGTTATTATATAAAAAATACCAACAGGTGAAAATATTAAATTCTTCCCATAAAGTACTTTATACAAAATAGAAGGTACATTTTTTAAAAAATGATTAGTTAGCATTTTTTTTTTGTTAGATAGGTTTTTACAGTCATATAAATTAATAATTGTACGTGGCAACGATGTTAAATGAATTTTTATTTATAAGTTTCTTAATAAGTATTTGTTTTCACAATGTTTATTACAAAAGTGGATCAAAAATTTAAATGGCACATTCGGAATATCTGTAAATATTTTTAAATAATGTTAAACGTTTAAACTCGCAATACATATTACTAATTTTTATCAGGCCAACAATATTATTATAAGATTTTCAAATTGGTTTTTTATATGATTGCTTCATATATACAAAAACTTTCAAAATAACAATTATAACGTGTGTATAAATAAATATAAAGGATTATTTTTAAAATCTTTTAATTTAGTAGTATACATAGTTCTGTCATCTTGTGAAAGACAACTATATAATTTAACAAAAAAAAAATTTTCATCCGCAGTAACAATATAAATTATATTATCTATATAATGACAATTATAACTATTATTTTTTACAATATTTGTAATTAACTAATACATGATATGCAACACTAATTAACAAGATAATTATTCTATTAATAAAAAATAACTAATAATGTGATAGTAAACGACTCAAAATTTCAGCAGTAACCGTAAACTGATTTTTGCGTTGTCAGTGTTACATTTTTCACATCATACACTACTAAAATCGTTATCATTTTTCAATCAGCCATCTCGTAGTCATCGCTGTGAAGTTTAAACTCTTCTGTCACAGTATTATTTTAAACACCTGTATGGTTTTTTTTTTTTTTATTAATCGTTATATGTAAATGTTCTCTTGTTATACTTTTTATTTAGGCAAGTTTTTACTACTTTACAAACTAATTTTACATTTAAATTACGCATTCAAATAACTTTTATATTTTTATAATGCTAATGACATATTTGACGTATAGTGCTACTTCATTGATTTAGTGTCGAACAATGATTTAATATTTTGTTATTGCTAGATTTTCTGAAGATTTGTGTTCTATATAATATACGTGATGAAATTCAAATCGCTTTTCCGGCGGAACCATAACCAGGGTAGTTCACCTGAAGGGGTGAGATCCTATCAACAACCCTCAGTGACAATGGAATCAGCTGTTTTCCCGCCAAACAACAACCATCCTCAAGGAACGGAAAAACGTCAACAACAAGAAGTCATGGATAACTGTGGTGCTACAGCTATTGGCTTCTCTTCAGTAGAATCAATTGATCGACGTGAGAATGAATACATTGAAGAGTTGGAAAAACTACGCATGGAAGTCAATATGCTTAAGGTAGAGAACATTTGTAATATAATATTTATTATACTGTTAAATTCAATCCATAATTGATTTGATTCATATGCTTTGAAAAGATATTTAATAAGCTGGTCAAGAAATTAGTTAAGACCGAAAGCAATTGAAGATTCGAGAAGCAATAATGTAGCTCTAATACAATTGAAGATCTATCAGAGAGATCAGTGTGTGTTACAATTATTTAAAAAATCATTTTATTATGTAAATTGTAAGCAACTTAGTGTTGCTGACAAATTGAGCTACATGTTCCATGCATTGAAGTACATTAAATACTCCAAAACTTTCAATGTAGCACTACATACACCAATTTCCATATTTTGTCTTTCTTAAACTTTTTTGTATCATAATTTTCCCTGATAGATCTGTAATTGTTAATACAAATTTTTAGAAGGGGATGGTCCAGCACAGTATGTTGTTTAATTCTAATTGTAAAACAAAAAAAATTTTGTTTGAATGAAGAGATATACAGAACAAATTATTTTATAGCCAAATTGAATCCAACTTCATATAGTATTAATCTTTAGTTTTTCTAACTTTATATTTTATTGTTATATAAGATAATTGTTAATTTCTTATGTTAAAACAAATCATAATTGTTATTTACACAATTTTAGTAGTATAATTTTCTTTTAATCTGATTGTTATTATGATAGGAACAAAGAGATGAGGCTGAAAGAAATTTAGCAATGCATATAGAAAGTGCTCGAAATGTTTTATCTTGTACTTCTATACCCAACAATAAGGTAGATGACAGGCACAGACATCCAAATTCTGCTCCTGCTTCTATAGCTCCACCAATTTCTGCTAGTCAGGTATAATGGACAATTCATCAGAATTTCCATCCATCATCAATCTAGGTTTTAATATATTTTTTTTGCTATATTACTCATAGGATTTATTAGATACACATGATTGGGACAAGCATTCAAACAGTTCTGTTAGTGAAGTTTCTTTAGCATGTCTTCAAGACAGAATTATACAAATGGAGGAAACTCATTATAGGTGATTTTTTTAAAATAAAATTGTTGTATGTATCACACATCCTAACATAAAATAATTTTAGTACAAATGAAGAATTACAAGCTACACTTCAAGAACTAGCAGATCTACAGTCTCAGCTCTATGACCTTCAACATGACAATGAACGTTTAGGAAAAGAGAAGGGTGTATTATTAGAATCGTTATGCCAACAAACAGAAAAACTAGAAGATGCTCGCACTAAAGTTGATGCTTTACAAGGATTATTCCTTGTTCCAGGTGCTAATCCTCCTTCAACTTCAACTGAGAGGGAAGAAAAACTTGTTGAACTATTAAAAAGTGGTCAAGCAGAACGTGAAACATGGTTAGCAAGACAAGAAGAACTTATTGGAGAAGCCAATGAATCAAAACGTGCTTCAGAAAATGAAGCTAAAAGAGCTAATCAGCTTTTAGAAAGAGTTCGTTTTCTAGAATGCACTGTTGATAGTAAAATTGCTGAAGTTAAACAACTTGATGAACAACTTTCCTTTGCTAAAGAAGAAATATCCTCAAAAAATATTGAAATTAATAGGAATCAAATGTTATTAGATAATGCAAGAGCTAAGGTAATTATACTTATATAAGTTTATTAATACTATAAGTATATTTTTTAGAAAACCTACCAATTTCATTTTTAAGTTAAACTCATTTTCTTAATTTTAGATTGAAGAGTTAGAAGCAGCTAGGGATAAATTAGGAGATAAATCCGAGTTAGAAGAACTCTTAAACCAAACCAGACGTGAAAAAGATAATCTAGAAAGTCAGTTAGCATCCTTACAAGAACGTGTGCAACGAGCATTTTGTGAAATTGATAGGCTAAAAGAGCAACTAACAAATTCTAATGAGCAATGTAATGTCGCAACAAATAATGCTAAATCTGCTCTTATAGATCTTCAATGGCAAAGAGATAAATGGCATGAAGAAGTTAATGCGTTAACAGCAGAATTAAAAATAGCTAAAGAAGCTGAAGCTGAAACACAAGTACTGTGCCAAAAATATGTAGATGAGAAAAGACAATTAGCAGATGTTTTATCTGAAACTCAAGTTTGTTTGGCAAATGTAAGAAAAGCTTTAGATGAAGAAAAAGCTGAAATTCAAAATGAAGTAAGTATAAAAAATAATTATTCACAAATACAATTATTGTGATTAATTAATAATTTGTTAAATAGAGAAAAGAATGGTATCAATTTAAAGAAGATTTATTAACTACAGTTAGAGTAGCTAATGATTATAAAGAAATTGTAGAAAAAGATATGGAACAAATTTTACTTGAAAATAAACGACTTAGAGAAAAAGTAAAAACTTTAGAGGATCAACTAGATAAACTGAAGCGTAACTAAAGTCTATAGTTTTAGTTTTTATAGATCTTAATATTAATTTTGTTCTGTGCAGTTATAGAGAAGCCTAGAGCACTGACATGTAATGCTAATTCTATTCTCAATCCTGTTATTATTGGACAAGAGATTAGTCGTCGTAGCAGTCATTCTAAACTCTCTAGACAAGATAGTCAGTTATCAGTTAAAACATTAATTGAAAGTATTGAAAATGCTACTAAACAAGCTAAAACAGGTATAACATTATTTTTATTTAACTATTAAATTATTTAAAAAAAATTTTTTTTAGCTGAGTTTACAAGAAGTAATTCTACCTCTAGCTTAAATGGATTGGTTAGCCTAAATGATAATCAATCTTTATGCAAATCACCTAGAGAATGTGATAGTAAAACTCCACTTAGAGAGCAAAATTCTTGTTCTGTTGATAGTTCACCATGTGAAGAATTTGGTAAGATTAAAATATATCAATGATTATACATAAAAAATTGTGTTTTTAATACTTTAAGTACTTAAACAAAATTATACATATGTTAATTTTACTTAAATACTAAATTTATATTTATTTAAAGTTTCAAAAAAAATTTTAATAGCGTATAACTGTATTTAAAATAATATGATTATAAAATTATAATAATAAAGAATGTAAGACACAGGATTAAGTCCGGGTTATTGAAGTTGAGAGAAGTGTCTGGCGTCTTATGCGATAAAAGAATTCCAATGAGTCTGAAAGGTAAATTCTACAATACTGTAGTGAGGCCAGCTATAAGGTATGGTTCAGAGTGTTGGGTGGTTGATAAGAAAGTAGAGCAGAGAATGAGTGTAGCAGAGAGGAGAATACTTAGATGGATGAGTGAAGTGAATAGAGAAGATAGGATAAGGAAGGAGCATATAAGAGGAAGTATAGGTATAGCGTCAATCGTGGTTAAGCTAAGAGAAAATAGACTTAGATGATTTGGTCATGTTATGAGGAGAGAAGAATCGTAAGCTGTAAAAACAGTTATAAAAATGAATGTTGAAGGAAGAAGAGGTAGAGGAAGACCAAAAAAGAGATGGAGGGATGCTATTGAATGCGATATAGGGACAGCTGATGTGAGTGTAGATGATGTGGGAGATTGTGTCAAGTGGAAGTTTAGGATAAGGGTGGACGACCCCAAGTAATTGGGATTAAGGCGAGGAAAAAAAACAAAATTTAACTAACTATATCAATTTTAAAAATATTTTACACTTATGATAATCATCAATAAGTGTCATAATTAAGCAGATTATCATCTAACTAGTGCTACATAAAATTTAAATATAAAATAATACACAATTTTTAATTTTTATTAATTATAAAGAAAACTATTTGATATTGTATTTTATTTATGTAGATCCAATTAAAAAGTGCCAAAGTGATGAACATCGCACAAATGGATTAATTCTTTCATCATCGCGTAGTATTGATACTTATGCACGACTTGGGGGAACTGTTGAAATATGTACGAATGTTTTATTGATTTCAATGTACTTTTCCTAATTTACTTTACAGATAAAACATTTTTATTTACAAATGTTCAATTAAAAAAACGGATAAATTGTTATGTATTATAGAAACCCTTTCCTTATTTATTAAATACTGTTTATTTATGTGAATTAATTAATTTTTTATTGTATGTTTTTATAATGCAATAATTAATAAAATTTTCAGCTGAACGACGAGATCCTTTGCAGGCACTTGTGAAAAACGGTGGTTCAAAACGTAATGCCTTGTTAAAATGGTGTCAGAACAGAACTATTGGATATCCAAACATAGACATAACAAACTTTAGTAGCTCATGGAATGATGGGCTAGCACTATGTGCTCTTCTACATACTTATGTTCCTGATAAAATACCTTATTCTGAATTAACACCTACTGAAACACGCCGAAATTTTTCTGTTGCATTTGAGGCAGCTGAATCTGTTGGTATACCAACTACTTTAGTAAGTAATTATGAAATTATTAAATAAAAATAAAGTAATAAATCAAGATAATATTCTCTTAACACATATAATTTAATAAAAAATAAAATAATAAAAATATTTCTAACAATTTAATAATTTATTATTTTATAACAATGTGTTAGAATATGAAATATCACTTACAAAGGTAGTATTATAATTACAATTTCAAAAATATTTTTGGAAATATGTTAGCCATGAGAACTTCATCTATTGTGTATTACTGGATTAAATTAAAGTGTTAATAATTTTTGCAATGCATATTTAATATTTTTATTTAATTTCAGAGTATTACTGATATGATATCACAAGAACGTCCAGATTGGAATTTAGTTATGGCTTATGTGACAGCAATTTATAAACAGTTTGAAACATAATTTAAGTGTAATATATATGCCTGATGATCAAAGACTGATATTCGTATAAATAAAATAATTTAAATGTAAGGCATATTAAGACTTAGAATTTGACTGTTATGTAAATAGAATGATATATATATATATATTTTATAATTTATTTTTTTTTATAAATAAATTGTATTCCACAAAGGCACAAACATGAAAAAAGTGTATTCTAGAAGTTTTCTAGTCACCTAATTTAAGTATTTTATAATTTTTATAAGTTGTTTTGTCTTATTTTGTATGTATTGTAATATATTTATTTTTTAAATTTAATATGTTAATTAATTCACATCAATTTCTTTGTAAATAGGATTTAAAAAAAAAAAATTATCGAACATTTTAATATATCTGTAATTATAGATATACAAAAGTGTTTGATATGTTTTTATGGTGATTATAATCATTATCATATTTGCAAACAGTGTTTTAAATTGGGGGTGCTGAGGTTCCAAAGACCAAAAAAATTTTTTCTCATTCTGTTTAAAATAGTATACCCAGCCTTTTTTTATTTATTTATAAATAAACAATTATGTATAACATTTTTTTTCTATCGATGTATTATTTCAAATATAATTGTTTTGAAACCAAAAGATATTACTATGTTTAATACACATACAACATCGATGACACTTACACTATTAAATGACAAAATTAAAAAAAAACTTAATTATTCATAAAGTGATATAAATAATTATTTTACTTATCCTTGCACAATATTTTAAAATTGTGAGTTTTATTTGGTGGTGCTAATGTCATTCTAATAGGTGCTAAGTAACCAAAGCAATCTCCTTGTTAACACCTATCATTATAGAAGATAAACCATGTGTAATTATGCTTTCTTGTCGGGGACGGATTTAAAAATGTTGGGGCTTTGGGTATAAATATTTTCTTTCAATTATATTTTTATGTGTATTCTTCGTATAATTAATCAAACAAAACATATACCGAAGTAAAATACCAAATGTAGCCTGTAAATTCATGATTCATTTTTAAATATTCTATAATTTATGCTAAACAATTTCCAATCGGATGAATAAGAATTATTGGAATAATATACTTAAAAAATATATATATTTTATTTTATTTCACAGTTTTTTCTAGAAAAATTCAAAAGCTATCTGTATTTAATTATTTATGCATAATTATATCATTTTTATTGTACGTATTATGTATTAGACTTATTTTATGTTTATAGAAATTTTATGATTTTGATCAAAAGTACATTAATATAAATATAAATTATACGTTTATGTTGAATTTCATTATAATTATTACATTTTATTACTTTATATGAATGCACCACAACGTGCCAAGAGCTTGTATTATATTATTATAATATTATAATATTATATTATTATTCTATTGCCAAAAGATGCTATTATAAGTTTCATTTGCAATCATATAGTTGCATATTTAATTATTAAAAACTACTATAAAAAAGTTGTCCAAATTTTAATCAGAGTATTTTACCTTCTTCACTTCTATAGTGAACAGTTATATTTTGAATTCAAACACTATTTATTATATTTAAAAAATAAATAAAATAACTAACATTAATCCAAATAATGATATAAAAATTTAAATAAATCTCCAATTATATTTAAAAATATATTGAACAAATTAATGTACTCAGAGAAATAACTTAACTATAAGCAACTAGAGGCTAATGTTAATGCCGTTGCTATTGTAATTTTCCGAGAAAAATATAATTGATACTATTATTAGAAATAAGACTAAAAAATAATATTAATAATTTAAATATTTAAAATTACACTAACTTAATTTTTACATGACATCCGTTCATTTATATACAAAAAATATGTTTTAAAATATATATATATATATTTTGTGATGGTATCCATTTACTACTTGATAAAATAAAGTATATTTTCAAATATACTAGCGTATATACGCCTTTTTCAATAACAATTTTCTTTTAAGTATCAATTTTCAAATGAACAAAAAAATGTTGACCACTGAAATTTCTTAAAATATGCACTACTTCTAAACATTTTTATAAATATTATAGATATTTATACAAGGTGATTCTTTTATCATTGATCACTTAATTAATAGAAAAATAAAAATGATATTTACATTTTTTTTTATTAGTTTCTTTTATTTATATATTTTTCTCAATTTATCAATTATAAAACATTAGTTTTATTCATCCCTTGCATGGCTATCAACTTTAATATCTCAAATTACAACACATATAATTAACCATCTTATTTATTAGATAAAGATCTAATTAAAATATTACTGACAAATAACAACTTTTAGACCAGTAATTCGGAAGTTATTGACATATTTATATTTAGATGATTGGAAGAGTATGACCGGAAAATGTCTAGCTATATAAATAGCATACACTTCTCATGGTAATTATTTTTATTTGTAAAATTTTGAACAAATAATGATAAGTTAAGAAAAACATGTAACTAAAAAAACCAATAAAAAAATTGTTAATATTATTTTTATTTTTCTATTAATTAAGTCGTCAATAATAGAAGTATCATTTTGTATATCTTATTAATACAAATATCTACGAAAGCTTTACTTAGATATTAAATGATTGTTTTCATCGATACAATTTAAATTTAAAAAATTGTCACGTGGTGTCTATTAGTCGATTGCCTCGTATCCCATATTAAGTTTCATATAATAAATGAATATACCGTTAATTGACGTTTAGTACATAATTAGATGATTGTGTCTATTAGTTTGGTGTTATGTTGGTACGTCGTCAGAAGTTGCACTTAAATTCCACAATTTTAATCACTCGCCACATGCCACTCCGTACTCGTGTGTTAGCCAGTCACTGTTCAGTAGTCCTTGTCGGAACGAGGGCGTGTGTACGACGTATAAATTGTAATGTAACTTGTTGCCGTCCAACCTTTTTTGGGTATATTTTCTAATCATGAAAATGTCAGGATCTACTACAATTGATAATATCCCAGGTTTAAGATATCTTACCTCGCATTAAAGTCTTTTCGAAGTTATTTTTTATTTATAATGTAATCGTCTTCTTATAACAGCCAAAATGTTGTTATTTGCCTGTGGATTTTTCGTCATCTTCCTGAGCCAAACGGTTTTAGCAACAGGTGAGTCATTGTGTTATACAATATTATCATAATATATTCTAAACGATTACTCACGGAAAGTACGCGAATATTTTGTTTTTGAACATTTTCGTAGCTTTTATATATTTTTTTAATTTTAAAATACGGGCGCCATGATTACTAGTTATTTGTTACACCTACATTTATTGGATAATTCTACAAATTTTACTAAAACTTTTTAAAAACTTTTTTTCTATATTACCTATAACATTCGATCAAATTATTATAATATATTAAATATATTGTGATTAAACAAGGTTTTAGATTTTTTTCAGTTTTTGTTAATCTGTTACTAGTTAATGAGAATTTAAGAGGTTTCAGCTAATGATAAGCTCCTATAATTCCAATTAATAATACTATTGGTATGTTTTATAGTGCATATTGTTTAGGAATATTTTATCAACCAAAGGTTAAGTTGGGTTGGGTTATATTATTTGTATTATTTAGTAATAAAAACTAGATTTTTTATTTTGTAAACATAGTGTAAAACTGTTTAGAAAGTAAAATATTTTAAATGGATAATTTAATTTAATTTCTTCCTATTAAAAATAATTATAAATCTAATATTAAAAGATAATTAAAAAATGTGCAGTCTTTTAATGGTAAATATGTACCATCAAATGATTTTAATGTTTATTCATATGCACCAAAAAATAAATAAAAATACAGTACATAAGTTTTCATATTTATTTCTAATATACATTTAATAGGAATCTTATACTCAGTAATATTAATTTTAGTATTAGACTTGGGTGCAATTGACAAAAATATTGAACAAATACTTATTTTCAATGTGTAGTTTATACTTAATTTAAGCATATGATGTATTTGTAAATGAGAAGTATGTTAGTTTATATTTTACAATCAATGTTCACATTATTACAGTATATTGAACTTCAAAATATGTTACAAAAGAAAATAACGCCTACATGTGTTATTCTGATTAGATAATATTGTGTCATTTATATATTTTCTCTTATCTTTCAATAAATACACAATATTGATAGACTTAATACAAAACACTTCTGGGAAATAAAATCAAATCTATTTTTTCACAAATCATGTGATACAAAAATGTTGGTATAATTGATTGTATTTCTGTTTTTGATTTAGTCTAAATTAACAAAAATACCATTATAAATTATTTATTTTTTAAATCTTAAAAAATTTTTTTACATGAAAACGTAGGTTTAGTCTTTCACAACCTCTTAATCTGAGAAACATTTGATGGGGAATTGAAACAAAAATATTTTTCTTTTCATACTGTACCATAAAGTTTAGCCTTATATTTATAGTATAATTAAAAAAAACTCAGAAGGGGCACCAGACCCCATAGACTATTTTGAATACCTGTCTTCAGTTTAAGCCCATGGACAACTGGTTTAGAGGTATTTATAAAATAACTTACCAAAAGTAAGTTATTTTAGTTAAACTATCATATCTCATAAAATATAACAATAAGATAATACCATCATTTAGTACATTAACAAGCATGCATGTAAAATATGCAGTTTTTGAAAAAAGAAAGCATTATGACAAATTTTTCAATGTAAAATTTAAAAAAATGGATATATTTAAAAAAATTTGTTAAATCTGACAAATAACTTGAGTTGGTAATTGTATAATATGTATAATACTTCAGATTATTCATTTGTGGCCTTTATTATATGCTTAATCCTTAATTTTAGCAAACACACATAAACTTTCAAAGTTTTAAATAATTAAACTCATTATGAATTTTTTTTCATCTCAGGTATACATATTTGGCCAGATGTTCCAGAACTAACCTTAACTTCAGGAGCTGATCTCACCTTAAAATGTACAGGGGATTTTCCTGTAAAATGGAATCATACACAGTATGATCCAAATTTAAATTCAGAAGTAGTAAGTTTTATAAATTTTTATAAATATTTTATCTTTTAGTAAGGATATACAGTTTGTATTACAACATACTATTTGAATAGTTCATTTGAAAAACAACATTTTTTGATAAAATTAATTATTGAAAATTTTAAATTCTAATATATAGTTACATATTCCAATCACTTATCCTTCCACCTAAAGGAAGGATATTTTTTTATAAAATTTGTTGCAACAAGTATAAAATAATAAATACTTTTAAAAGTTAGATCTTGACCTTTTTATAGTTATTTAAAATAATGTTCAGCTCTTATAAGTCATGAACTTGAGAAACAACATTATAAAAAAAATTAAATAACTTTCAAATTACAATTTTGTTTAAGTTACTACATAGAGATTACATGACTGTGTTTTACTAAAAGCCAACCAAACTTTTTCTTTTTCTATTAAAATTTTATACAATATTATTTGAGAATATATCAATTCAATTAATTTAAATAGTCATGATAGGAAATGTTAAAAACAAAGTGTTTTGGATTGACATCTAGCTAAAAGGTAAAATGTCAAAAATGATTCATTAAATTTTTTTATTATATCACAGTTTGATTTTAAGTTATACCATATTATAAATATTATGTCTAATCTACATTTTTATAATATAAAATTGTATATGACCGGGTAGGTCCCATTTTAAAAACATTGGTCTAGTCTAGTTGGACTTAAATAAAATGTAATATTTTATAAACTAATAAACATTTTCTTTTAAATACTACTTTTTTAAAATCCTTTCAAAATTTAAAAGTTTTCATAATAAATTGTTACTTATAGTTAACAATTAATTGTTGTTTCTTTTACATCTTGTAATATATAAGAAAATAATCCTTTATATTAATTGAATATTCTTTTTAACTATTTTATTTATGATAATATCCATTTAATGTATATTTTAATCTTTTTTAGAGCTCTACAATTACCATTTCACAAGGATTAGAAAATAATAGCTACATATCTTACTTATCTCTAAGTAGAGCAAGTTATTTAGATACTGGATATTATTACTGTGATCCAGTATCAGAAGATTTAGAAACTGATGAAGGAATTTCTCAAAATATATATTTATATATTCAACGTAATTCTATAAACAATATTTTAATGTTCAATTAAAATTGTTTCCATTTTTTTTTTCAAGTAGAATTATTATTTAAAATAAATAATTATTTTAGATGATTCTCATTTACTAGCTGTTCCTGAAGAGTTAGTTGTATTGTCTCAAGATGAATTTGGTAATGTTATTATTCCTTGTCGACCAACATCGCCAGATGTTAATGTATCATTAACTAAAGATGATGAAGAGGTGAGTCATTGCTGTTAAGAGTAAACATTCTATAAAGTTTAAAATTATTGCTTTCTAAAAATATAAATTCTGGCTGCATTGAGTATAATATATATTACAAGTTAGTTGACTGAAAACATTTAAGATATTAGAGTAACTTGTACTTAATATTTACATCAGTACCATAACTTTTATAGTACATCTGCGTTATATGATCCCTTAAAATATTTTTTGTGTTATTGACGTATAAGGAAAAATAAAAGTAAAGTGAATTTGTGTAAATGGTATAGTTTTTTCTTGCTGCGGTATTGGTTAACTTGAATTCTATTAACACATAACTTTTTCAACTTACTATATGTGAAAATATAAGAATAATTAGTATAATTTAACATTTAAATTTTTGTTCTTTTAAACTGTATTTTGGTGTATGTCATGTCTTAATATTAAATAAAACAAACTAACATTTTCAATATAGTTGGTACCTGGTAATATGTATGATGGCATGGAGCTACACTATGACTCAAAATATGGATATTTACTCTATTCAGTCACTATGCTTAGTACTGGGCTCTATCAGTGTCACGCCAAATACTATAACAAAGAAAGTTTTGCATCCTATCATCTATTAATTATGTGTAAGGGAATTTAGAAGTGGTAGTAATTTTTAGAGTTAAGAGCTTATTAAAATGATGTTTTATACAGAACAGAATTTAAGATTAATTTAGTTACTTATTTATCAATAGAAAAATTAAATTATATATATGATAATTATTATAATTTTGTAGTTAAAAAACATATATGATTTGTATGAGTCAAAGTATTGGGCACTTGACAAATAAGTAGAGCAGAGAATGAATGTAGCAAAAATGAAAATGCTTAGATGGATGAGAGGAGTGATAAGAGATAATAGGATAAGTAATGAATATGTAAAAAAAAGCATAGAATTAGATGAGAGAAAAAAGGCTTAGGGAGTTTGGTTATATTATGAGGAGAAAGAAATCAGAAACTGTAAGGATGGTCATAAAAAAGAATATTTAAGAAAAAACAGGAAAACTGAAAAAGAGGTGGTTGGATATAATTGGGAGTGATATGAGGACTATTAGTGTTTGTATTGATGATGAGAGGTCATATTAAGTGGACGTTTAGAATACAGGTGGCTAAAACCCCAAGTATTTGAAATAAAGATAAGTAAAAGAAAAAAATGTAGTTAAAAAAAATTTATATAAATAATGACTTGAAATAAATTACGTGATATGTGCTAAAAAATTAATTTCACATAATTCATCTTACTTAAAATTGCCATAACTTTTTTAAAAATGGCCAAATCAAACACTATCTAAAGATTTGCATCGAAGCGTTTTTTTTTT